CCACATTTCTTCATAATACTTAACTAACAGAGCCGATCCCGTACTGGCCTGTGGGTGCGCCTCCTGAATTTTGACAGTTGAGCTCCCTCCTAGTCTCTGCAGCATCATGCCCAACCCAGAGCTGTACCTGAGGAGTCCTGGTTTGCCTCTCATCTTTGACCACCCATATAGTTTCGGGTCCAGCTTCAACTCCCAGATCGGTTTACTATTCATCAGGAGTACCGGGTGTGTTGCCCCTCCTGCTGAGAACTGATACGAGACTCTCACTTCCTCCAGTAAGCAGGGGTTGTTCACCACACGTTCCTCCTTGAAGCTTAAAGCAACATCTTGGCACCCTTCACTCACCCGTCCCTCCCACACTTCCATTCTGTCATGACTGACTGCTTTGAATATATGTGTGTCTCTGCCAACACCAAGGACTGGGCGGTACCATCGGCCTGCTGCGGAGTGTTCTTTCAAAAACTGTTTCCAGTCCTCCGGAATCGCTTGAACCAGCTCCTCCCTTCTTACCTCGACGTACCATAGTCTGCCCAGGTTTCCTCTGAGGTCTGAGGCACTCTTCCATTCCAACCGTTGGTCATCCCATATATCTTCAACACGCAACACTCCTCTTTCTATCCATGCTTTCCCAAAGTTTCCTCGTCCTGCGATCATAAACATTGACCTATCTGCTTTCTTTATCCACCGATTCTCGAAAAGGAGCTGCCTTAAGACTTCGTCCCGAGAGCACGGTTCCTTCATGGATACTGGAACAAGTGTTCTCCAGGCTTGCAACACGCCCTGCCAAAAGGAGGATTTTGGTCTCCTCTTCTGAAAGGACGGAGTCATTATCACTTCCCATACATCCTCTCCTCTGCTCAATCCCCAATCTTTTGCCAGGATATACACTGCTAGCGCCACCCAACTGCAGTCATCCACGTCAAGAGCCGCTTTTATGGGCCACTTTCCCAGCAGTGCTTTATTCTGGCGGGATGGGTCCAAAATAGCAAGCCCCCCTTCCTCCTTCGATGCTATGATTTTTTCCCACGATAACTTGGACATATGCGCTTTCCCCTCCTCAGCGTTCGGCTTCCAAATATACCTTGAGGCCGCGTTCCTGATGCCTTGTGCGGCTTTTTTGCCAAGTGGTCTAATTGCTTCAGCATACCAAAGTTGGGAAAAGACTGCCGCGTTCACAATCAGCGCTCTACCAAATAAGGAGAGGCCATAGATAGTCTTCCACTTCTGCAATCTCCGCTCCACCCTGCCCTGCAAAATCTTGTTTTGTGTCTCTGCGCAGTTCTGCAACGAAATTTGAACTCCCAAAAATCTCTCGGATGAGTCAGCAAGAATCTTTTTCATCCCAAAATCAACACATAACTCAAATTGTTCTGGCAAAAAGAACACCGACTTTCACCAGTTGACTTGAGCCTCACTAAGTACACAATATTCCGCAAGCGTTTCTTTGATCGCTGTCAGTGAGTCCGGCGAGTTTCTAGATACGATTGTGAGATCGTCTGCCAACGCACTACCCTTAAACTGCAGGTGTCCACGAGTCCGCAATCCCACTATATAGGGATTACCTCTCACATTATTAAGCAACACATCCATTTGTAGAACGAAGAGCAAAGGCGCTAACGGGCACCCTTGCCGTAGTGAGCGAGTCAACGGAAAGGTGGTGGAGATCCTACCATTGATCATTACCGAGGCGGTAGCGTGAAAGTATATGACTTTTACCCATTGGCAAAAGTTCAGTCCAATACCCATGTGTCTCAGAGTTATGAGCACAAAAGGCCAACTAACGCTGTCATAGGCTTTTTCCAAGTCAAGAAGCAGGATAGTCATGTCTAATTGCTCCTCAGAGATTATCTCCATTGACTCTATAACAGTAGCTATGTTGTCCAAAATCGACCTCCCTTTCACAAACGCGCCTTGGTCAACTCCTACTAAGTTCGGTAGATATATTGCCAGTCTGATGGCAAGAGAGACTTAGCCAGGAGTTTATACACTGTGTTTAGCAAGGATATCGGTCGCCAGTTCCTAATGTTGTTTTTGTCTCCTTTCTTATACAGTAGAGTTATGATCCCTTTTGTCATACTGGGGGGGAGTCTTGTTCCAACCAGCGCTTCGTTATAGATATGGATCAGATCCTCGCTGAAGAGTGGCCTGAATTTCAAAAAGAATTCGATGGGCAGCCCATCCTGCCCTGGGGACTTTCCCTTCGCCATCTGTTTGGCAGCGTGCGTCAGTTCTTCATTGGTTATTGGTCTATCTAGGGCTTATTTGCCTTCTTCTGCAATCTGAGCAGTTGTGTGCACCCAGAAGGCCGATTCCCTGGTCAGATCCAAGTCTACCGCATCCGGTGACCTCCGAGACGTCAAAATATCCCGGAAGTAAATGACGGCGTGTTTGCACATCCCAATTATATCTGTGGACTTGCAGAGATTCAAATCAAAAGGATGAGCCAACTCCTTCATTATGCGGTGTTGTGTGGTCTGTCTATTAACCAATGTGAAGGTTTCCTTAGTCATACCATCCAGTTTCTCCATGCCCAGAACTTTGCACCGATCTTGCCAAACCTTTTGCTTCCGTACCTGTATCTCCTCCCATTTGGCTAGCTATCGAATTTTTCCTCTGGCCCAGAAAACATCTGAGATCAAGTGTTTCCCCATTTCTAACTCTGCTTCCTCTATTTTCTGTTTGCAGACCCTTTCTTCTTCATTCCTACGATAAGCTTTCATCATCGACAAAACTGATAGGCCCTTTGAAATAATTATTAAGCCTGTCGTTAGCCACTCCCCCTTTGTTGGGAATAACTCCTTTGTGCTCTGCCAGGCTTCATTTTGATGCTGGACCCACTGTGTGATACCCGGGTCATTCAGGTTGTCCGTGTTCAGCCTGAAGTATCCCCGTTTTCTGTCGATGCACGGACCTGGTGTGAACCGGGCTAGGATGGGGTAATGATCAAACATAGTGTCCGCCATCGGGCTTATTGATAGCAGGGATTCCCAAGCAGCAGCTTTTACCAGCATCATATCAATCCTACGTTCGCTGCTTGGGGGAATGTGTACCTGGCCAGGGGTCACTCGTCCCCTGCTGGCCGGATGCCAGGTAAAACCGTAATCATTGGGGTGAGTGACTCGGTAGGCATCAACAAGGCCAAATTTTTCCATTAATGCCATCAGTATTTTTGCATCAGAACGGATTGGCCTTACTGTCAACGTGTCGATCCCTGGATTCAGGGTCACATTCCAATCACCAGCAATAATTAAATTATCTACGTCCGGGATTGCATCTGCAAGTTCAGTTAAAAACTGCAGACGGGAGCGTCTGCCTGCCGGGGCATACACACACATTATAGCCCACGATTCTTCCGCCATTACTCCGTTAACCCATGCCCATTGGCCCCAGTTATCAAAGATCTCGTCTGTCTATTCAAAATCCAAATCTCTGTGGATTAAAATGGTTGTCCCACCTTTAGTACCATTGGCGGGGGCCCACAGTTGTGGACCATCCCACCACTTTCCCAAGGCCGCGATATTTCCCTCGTTTAATTTGGTTTCCTGAAGGCATATAATTTGCGCCTTCTGTGAATGTATCCAAGATTTGAGACGGCTCCGTTTTTCCCTGCCGTTTCAGTCTCCTAACCCCCTAACGTTCCACGAGGCCACTGATACTGTGTTCATGTTGGAGCCGACCGGTCTGAACGTTTATGGATGCGACCGACATTGCTCGTGGTCCTTGTGGCCACCGACGTCTTCCTTCTTCTAGCGTTGGTGGGGTCTTGGAACATTGCCCAAGAGGAGGTCAGACTGTCTCGGAAAAAGGGAGAAGACAGGTTTCTGCCTTTCAGATTTCGATTACATTCTGCCACAAAGTCCACGGGCAGTCCGTCCTGCAGCTGGATGTTGGCTATATTCGGGTTATCCGATCTGTCGAACCATCGGCCAGGGACCCAGAGAATCCCCTCTCGTTCCAAAACCGGGAAGGCGTCCGGGGGGATACGTAAGTCCATAAAGGGAACATATAGTCTATGACAGACCCCCCCTGAATCTACATGAACAGCTCTTCCCATGGTGACATTAGGTACTACTCGGCAGGGAAATATGTTGTTTAACAGGGCTTCACACAATTCAGAACTGTCTCGTTGCTTGGCGGTAAATCCGTGGGAAAGACCACCATAAAGAGGGATCTGTTGCCTGCATCGAAGCACAGAATTAGCGCTCCCTGTGAATCTGGAATACAGATGATCGGTACGATGCGCTTCGGCGATGCCGCCTGTCCTTTTGGGATACAGGTCATGCCCCCCAGTGTGTTAGCCCCATTGGAGCCAATTCCCTGTTCTGTATTCAACTGCCATAGGAACTCTGAAGCAGGCAATATCGACGATGCTGAAGATTCCCCTTCCGAGAATCCAAGAGATCTTGATGACTTTTCTTCCCCTAAATCCTCTACCCAAGTGCGTCTCTGTTTGGTCGGGCATTTACTGCCTCTCAGTGGAGTGTTTGTGGGGAAGGTCCCATCCTCGCCTTCTTCTTCATCCATATCAACTCGGGAGCAAGAACTTTCCGAGTCCCCTACCGTTTCCTCCTGTTGTTTCCCCCCTTTATCCTCATTGACCGAAGTCCCTTCTTCCCCCTCTGACAGTCCAACCGCCTTTATATTCATTGCGGTCTGACTGTTCCCCTTTCTCCCCCCTATGCTTCCCATCGATTGTTTGCCTTTGCCAGAGGTACCAGCCCTCCCATGGGAGTCGACGATGTCCCGACTGGTGGTGGGGATGACACCCCAGGTGGCAGAGGTTCTGGTTCGTACACTGGGTTATTGCAATTACCGCTAAAAGTGGGAGACCCCCCTCCCAGAACTGGGCCTGACGTAGCAAATTTCTGATTGAAAATGCCAGGACCCATCTGTAACCCAAATCCTGGGAAGGCGGTTGGGTTAGCAAATCCCGCAGGGAAAAACAGGGGTGGCGGTTGGTACTGTGGTTGTGCATGATGGGTCGTGGGTTGAAGCGGAGGCGGCCCTGGGAGACCCTGGAGGGGATGCATCCCTAAAGAACCTTGTGGGGGGGATGGTCCTACGTGACCCACACCCGATGATGGCACGTTACCCGTCTGCTGCGGTCGTACTGGTGGCGGCCCCAAGGGGCGGGGCACGTTGCCCGACTGCTGCGGTCGTGCTGGTGGCGGTCCCAAGGGACGGGGCTGCTGTGAGGTGGGTGGATGACCCGTCGGGACCTGGGGACCAGGTCTGTATTGGGACGGGCCCACCGAATATTGGACCTTCTGTCCATGCGGCTGCCCTGAGTTCGCTGCTCCCGATGGTGCTCCCTGTGTCTTGTAGTGGTCCGGGTGGTGTGGACAGACTACACTGTCCTCCGTATGATAAAACCACTTACATTTTCTACACCAGTCTGTTGCTTGCGACACGAATTCTAATTTAAATTCCTCCCCATCCTTTTGAAACTCTAGCTTTTCCTTCCACGTTTGCCTTGCTTCTGGGGCCAGATCCATCTTCACGTTCATTAGGCGTGGGAAGTGATTGTCTTTCTGTGGGGGATACATCTTTAGTATCTTTGCCATGGATGTTTCAATGGCCTAATGAAGGTGGAAAACAACCCGAAGCGAAACTCTTATTGCCATTACCCAAAATTTCCCGGCCGCCTCTTGGGCCTTTCTCTCGTCCAACTCCTTTTTTGTAGCCCATTTCTTGAATTGGACAGAGTAACGGATATCCGCACTCCCTGGTGTACTCGGATCCCTAAAGACAATCGTGTCGTTTTCTTTGCTGACCATAAAGTCAGCAATATCCTTGGTCATTGCGACATAGGAGAAAACGTTCGCACCCTCATACTTAACCCTCCCTCTTTTCAACGAAGGATTTACCGCCGGATTGGAGCACCACCTATCTTCGTAAATTCGAATCAGCATTTCTTTAATTTTATTTGGCAAAGCTCTAGATTCTGCCTGAAAAATAATCCCCACCGTTCTCTCCTTCAACCACCGCACCACCACATCGTCTATCTTAGGATTAAGAGTAATTTTTGCCGACCGACCCTCAGTAACACAGGTACCGTGATCGAGGCCCTCCGGGAAAATCCCGTCCTCTATACACTTTTCCACCATCAACCGAATTCGAGCCTCCTCTGGGTCCGGCGGGGGCTCCATCTCTAGCACCGAATTCCCACCCAATACCAATTAGTCTTAGCTACCCAACATCCAACGAAAGAAGGAGGAGGAGGGATACGACCTCTTCTTTACCGAAATTCTTTTGGGGAAATCTCCTTCGAGAGTCAACACCTTAGGCAGCGCTTACTCCGATCGGACGCTAACACCGATTCCTAATTTCGCAGGTGTGCAGCTCAAGTCAAACAAGGACATAATACGGTGTACTACGCCAGAACAGCAAGGGATTAGGGCGGATGGATTAGGGGTTATACCTGCGTCCTTCCGAATTCACTGAACATAGCGTAGTATTCTCCTTAGTCGCTACTTAACTTCCCAGGGTCTTCTGTCCTGGTTGGTCGAACCTGCTGAATCCTTCGGAGACTAACATCGTCCCATGACTCAACGCGTTCGCAAGTGTCATATTGGAGTACGGCAGAGGTCTCCAAGGTCCCCTCCGTCGGGGTTACTCTCCACCCATCCATCCATCTTTCCTACTAGCACAATCTTCCCTCCAGTCGCCTTCCCTCCGAACTTCCGCCTATTGTCATAGCTGAATAGGGCCTCCTTCAAGCTCCCCTGTAGTCCAAGCTCCGCCTCTCTTCCTGTCTTGCAATCGCCATAATAGACATTCGACGGGCGCCAAAAGGCGCTCGTACATTCACCCAATTCACATGGTTTACCACTGTGTCATGGCCTGAGCCTGGGGACTCCTTACTGGCTCCTATACCTCCCTAGCACTTGGCTATGGTTGGCGTCATCAAATTGACGCGAGGTGGTGGCCGTCTCCCATCCCTGCTACGTTTGCAGGAAAGTGACGAAAGAGCGCCGGCAAAACTGCTACCGGCGGCGCGAAGCGGAGCGCTACCGGGCGCCCGTCAACCCGCCCCCCCTCCCCGCTGCACTACTCTCTGATACAGAATTTTGGTTGATAGAAAAAAGAAAAAAGAATGGGAAAGCTACCCATCTGCATGGCCAAATGGCCCACTGGAACCCGCCCCTCAGCCAGCTCAGGTAGGGTCCTGGGCCTGGGTACCAGGGCCAATGTGTCCCAGTTGCATCCAATTTCTTCCTGACCTCTCTGGCAAATGGTGGAGACTGATTGGCCCCTGTTGGATCCTTTTCGTACGCACTCAGTGGCCTTCTCCCAGTAAAGATAGGGGCTACCAGAAGGTTGTGCAGAGGTGGGTTTAGCGGACATTCCGTTCGAAAGTCCAGATCTGAGACCATGTGCCTAGAAAAGAGGGTGCTCAGCGCGATGAATCAGCACAGTGCGGAAGAAAACGAAACCCTGCGAAAAGGCGCTGACACGCGAAGCCAAACGACTGGAAACGGCACGTGCGTTCGCACCGATGACCCGCACAAATCGAGAGAAAGAAATGCAAACGGCGCGCGGGGTCCCGAGCCATAGCGGTCAGAGAATTGAAAAAAGTACCAAACCCTGGACCCGTCCTTCGGGACACCCGTTAAAATTGGAACGATACAGAGAAAGAGAAGATTAGCATGGCCCCTGCGCAAGGATGACACGCATAAGGACTGAGAAATGGTCCAAACCTTGGGCCTACCTCTACTGCACAGCATTCTCAACGTGTCTGGACGTTATGTGGACTGACTCAACATTCTGACCGTATGTGGGCGATTCACGGAGCCAGATGCATTCAGTTCAGAGCGTTGCCCACCTCCACTGCAGAGCATTTTCTCAACGTATCTGGACGTTATTTGGAGTGACTCAACATTCTGAACGTATGTGGGGCGTTTCACGGAGCCAGATGCATTCAGAGCGTTGTGGAGTGTAGCGGGCCGGAAAGGAGAGAAAAGACGAAGGGGCTGCTCCACATCGCACCATTCGAAACGCATTTGGACTGCATTGTAAGCAGATGCGTTCGGACTTACCGACATTTTGAACGCATCGGACGACATACGTGTCTAGATTCATTTGTAATGTTGTGCAGCCGAGCGAGGCTCAAAGAACCACAACAAGCCCGCTACCCATCTTCCACTGTCCGCCGCAAGCGCTCCGGTGGACTCGGTCGATTCACTTCGCCCCCGTTCGTTCTCGCTCTCACCTGTTCCGGTGATCGACCTGTCACGCCCGTCCCATGTCCCACGAGTCCCGACGCCTCAGTGGCTCGTTGCGATCCCTCTTCTTGGCGACCTGTGTCCGTGGCTCTAGAAGTTGCAGAAGCACTCCATTGGACTGTAGAATTCGAAAAAGGACCGTGGATATTGAAAAGCAACGGCGCAGATTGACGAGGACAATTAAACAACAGGCACCGCTGGCAGGATTTCGTCGATGAAGGGTAGGGGGTCTGCGCCGTGCGCGCGCCATTGGTCTTGCTGGCCGAAAAAGAAGCGGCAAAATTTCTCCTGCGGGCTACCGGCGGTACCCAACTACTACAGTACCGTAGGCGCGGAAGCACATCGACCTCCGTCTATACGTCTATACGTACATATATTTGTATTTGGTATTGTGATCATACAGCTGGTATGAAAACGACAGTTGGTTTGATGGACCTTTTTCTCTTACCGTTATTCAGCGGAAACATTAACCCGCCGCGGTACGAGGAATGAGCCGGCCGAAAAAGTTTGCTGGTGCCGGAGAGCGTCGCAGTGAGAGAGGGAGAGCGTCGCAGTGAGAGAGGGATTGCCGCGGAGAGGAGGGCAAATCGTAGAGCATCGGCACACCACTCTCGAAATGTGCAAAATGAGAATGAACCTCCGGCTAGAACATGGCCAGATGCGCCCGCCACATTTTTGTCTTTTCCACATTTCGAGAGTGGTGTGGTAGGCCCGTAGAGTAGGGGCTCTGAAAGTGAGGGGCGCAGACACAAATGTTTGTGCTTTTCGTCGTTTGCGAAAATCATCAGCGCGGGCTCCCGTGTGCCCGGGCGCCCGCGAGTCGCGACAACCACCCCCGGAGCGCGCGAGTGACCGACCTGGCGGGCTCGGGTTTTGAGAGTCCGTCGAAGCATTCCCAGGACAATCAACCACAAAGAAAGTTATCGTTACCGCTCGGCTTCGTTTCTGTCTATTATATTCGCTCGCGGAATAATCGTTCTTCTTCCAGGACAATAGCTAAAAGGTAGTATAGTGTTAGATCCACGCCAGGCTATTGCGGTTGGTTGCCGATCCTCTCTCTCTCTCTCTCTCTCTCTCTCCCCACGCCCTCTTTTCTCTTTCTCCGTCGACCATGTCTACGGTAGGCTGCTTACCTGCCATATCTGACCCCTTTCGTTTCCAACATTTCCTCCACTCCTCTTCACTGCCGCACCTGTGTCTGTTTTGATGACACAGGCTGCGTGCATTGTTCTGCCTACAGGTGACTTCGTTTCGTCGTCGCCACCATATCCCATTCCTTGCGACCCACGCCGGCCTATTGCGGCTGCCGATCCTCTCTCTCTTTCTTTCTCTCTCTCTCTCTCTCTCTCTCTCTCTCTCTCTCTCTCTCTCTCTCTCTCTCTCTCTCTCTCTCTCTCTCTCTCTCNTCTCTCTCTCTCTCTCTCTCTCTCTCTCTCTCTCTCTCTCTCTCTCTCTCTCTCTCTCTCTCTCTCTCTCTCTCTCTCTCTCAGCGTCCTCTTTCCTTTCTCCGTCGACCATGTTTGCGGTAGGCGTAGCTGCCATATCTGGCCTCTCTCGTTTCCAACAGTTCCTCCACTCCACTTCTCTGCCGTGCCTGCATATTTTTTGATGACAGAGGCGGCGTGCATTGTTCTTTCTGCCTATTGGTGGCTTCGTTTCGTCGTCGCCACCATATCGGGGTGCTTGCGACGTTTTTCAACTCGCTTTTTTTCCCCCTCTTTTTCCCTCTCTTCTCCTCTCCCTTTGTCTCGTCTTTTGCGATGAATTTGCTGGGTAGCGCCAGCAGATCCACCTGAGTTGTGGACTTCATGAACTCGACGCTGGGCGAGGAGAGGGACGTATCTAGTTCCCTGGATTGGAGAACACCGAGATGAAGCAATAACGAGAGAGGACGGTCGAGTCCGCCGAGAGTTCGTTTTCAGCCGGTGAATGGCGGAAATGGTCCGCTCCTTTTCTGGCTCGTAGAAAGAAGAGGTCCTAAGGGCAGGAAGGAGGACAAGGCAGGGCCCTGTTTTCGGCCCGAAGCCGGTTGTCCCTGCCTCTTGCTTATTACTGTATTGTATGTAAGCTAAGCAGGCGGCTATGGCGGGTGGTGAGAACGACAGTGGCAGAGGGCTGAAGCACCTCTTGCGGCTTTTGGCAGAAGCCGGTGACTGGGTTTACGCCGCGTTCTGGAAACTAGCGGACAACGGAAGGTTAGTTAAAGACGGCCACTCCTTTCCTTCTGCCTCTGTATGCTCTCCCTGCTCTTCGTCTGCTCTCTTCTCTTCCCTACCTCTTCGTTTGCTCTCCCCTAATCTCCATCTCTTCCTTGGCCTCTCTCTCTCTCTCTCTCTCTCTCTCTCTCTCTCTCCTTCGTCTCTTTCTTTCTACCCCGCCCTTGTGACCTCTCTTTCTGTCTCACGAACTTGCAGTGTAACTTTCGCCCTACCTGTATCTGCTCCCCTCTCTCTCTCTCTCTTTATTCTTAGAGTACATTTATATATTTATACAGACCGCCGTCACAGGGTGCATTGCTCACACAATGAGTGTGACCTATCGTCGAAAGCGACTTACAGACTCTGCGTTTCTGACGAATGCCGCCTCCATGCAACGCTATGATGGCGAGACAACGACACGTGGCGGATGCGTGCGCGTTAGGGCGGTTTATATCCGATAAGTATCACTTTTGCGTGTATCTGGCGGCCCCTCCCGTTTCGATGGCAGGCGGCAGATCTGGCTCCTTTGTGTGGTACGTTGTTGCCTGATCTGTCCTCTCAATATCCCATAAGCCAAGCCGTCGATCTGCCGCGCCCGTGGCCTATCTGGCCAGACGATCTTGTGTGGCGACAATGAAGCTCAGAGCGTAAAACATGGGAAGAGCGGAAAGGCGCGGTGACACACCGTTGTCTGCCTTGGTGTCATCGATCTGTATCGGCAATAGCCAATCTGGTCATAGCAGCCTGAGCACCGATGACGAGGATGAGAGAGACAGCTGTATGGTAGAGCGAGTTGTGATCTGCCTTAGGATCGTCGAATGCTGCACTTGCACTTGCACTTGCCTGGTCACACATGTTATCGGTCCTCAGCGAGGTCAAGAGAGAGCCATACAAGCCGATAGTAGACGGGTGGGGAGCAGACGCGTGTCAGTGTTTACCTTGGACTCGTCGATCTGCCGCGCCTGTCGCCCACAAGGTCACACATTTTCTGCAACGATGCGGCTGCTTAGAGAAACTTTATATGGTTGTCGTCTGTCTTGTCGATCTGCCGCCCATGTCTCTCACCGTTGCAGTGGCGCCCTGCAGCCGAAGGAAGAAGAGACGAAGGGAGGCCAGAAGCGTGTTTGGCTTTGGCCTCGTCGATCTGCCGCCCATGTCTCTCACCTTTGGGCTGTGGTCTCGGTTGTAGCTCAGTGTCGCCCAGCAGCCTAAGGAAGAAGAGAGTCAGGGGCGGAGAGAGATCAGCAGCGTGCTCGTCTTGGCCTCGTCTGCTGCATCTGTCACCCACCTGGTATGTGGGTGAGCTGTTTTCTGTCTTAGCTCAGTATCGCTCACCAGCCGCAAGGAGAAGACAAGAAGAGAGGAAGGAGGACCAGAAGCCTGCTCTCCTTGGCCTCGTCGATCTGTCGCGCTCATGGGTGGGCTGTCTCGGTCTTACATCAGTGTCACCCAGCAGCCTAACGTAGGACAGACGAAGGGAGGGAGGGGGAGTGAATTCTTGATGTTGATTCCTTCCTTCACATGTCTGTCTGCCTCATTTCTAAACACTCTGGATCTTTTTTTTTTTTGATTTCCTCCGTTGCTCGATTTTCATGCTCGCCGACTCCTACCCGCTGTTCGCTCAGTTGTACTTCGCTCTCTGCATGTCTATTTTTCTTGTTTTCTTCACTCTTCCCTGTACATTTAGGACTTTTTCATCGTCTGTCTGTAAATTTCTCCTTTTCTCCGCCCCTCTTCCCTGTGCAATCTTCCTGCCAGGCTTTTCCTTCGATTTTTTCTCCATTGCCATTCCCTCTTGCCGTTGTCCGCAATCGCCTTGTTCCTTTCAATCTTCCCTATCATCTTCCGTTCCTGCTCTTCTCCTCACATTCTCCTTTTTTCATAGGACCGACACTCAGCCTTCTTCCCTTGCGCTTTCGTCCTAGCCGTCCTTCACCTTTTTAATGCGCAGTTTTCCTTCACATTCTTCGTTCGCACTTTCCCTTCCTTTTTTTTTTTAAACGCCTCCACCGGTGTTCTTCGTTCGAAAACTTCTTCCTCTTCAAGCTCTTCCTTTTCACTCTTCCCTCACGGCGTCGTGCCAATATTTTATTTGACACTCGTTCACGCTCGGCCTCACGCTTCTCCTTCGCACTCTGCCTGCCTGCTTCGCGTTCATACTTCCACTCTCCTCTCACAGAGTCTGCCGTCCTTCCCATTCTCCTGTGTTTCTTCCTTGTCTGCCCGCTGCTGCGACGACTGGATACTCTTTGTTGCAGCTTGTTGTCATTCACCAGATGTGTTCACGCGCGGGAAAGAAACACGATACTATCAGTATGGATGAAGTGTAGAACTAACAGAAGAAAAAAGTGGTCATCCTCTTTAAGTCCGGGGTTGGCTCCAGCGGTTGCCAGTCAAACGCGTGCCATGTTGTTCGTGAATGCTCGAGGGTTGTGGAGACAAAGCTATTTGCTCTTTCGTAGATTTCGGAAAAGTACAAGGATAAGGTATCAGCCATCTCTCTCTTCCTCTCGTTCTCTCTCGTTCTCTCTCGTTCTCTCTCGTTCTCCCTCGTTCTCTCTTTCCTGTGGCGTTCTCCTCGTCGTCGGGATCTGCAATTCAAAACGTCGAACAATGACCACGGTACCTGTTGTGGCTTTGATACATGGCCCGGCGACCTGCGCAGCCTGAACCCGTGGCAACCGCTCAAGTGACTTATCCTGAACCCGTGGCAACCGCTCAAGTGACTTATCACGAAGTCGGAACTCTTACAGATTCCGAAATTTGACTGTAGCTTGGTTTGATCAGCGTCTGTTCGACGTGACCAAAGGATCATTTCGCACAAGAACAGTGATCTAGAAGATCTCGCCGCTGCCTGTCCTACCTTCCATGCCGAGGCAGAGAGGTATGGGCACTCTCAGCAGTAATGGCGAATGGGACTGAAGGGGGGACGCGAGAGCGTGATAGAAATTGGCAAAGCACGGGTAGCTGACAAGAATTGCAAGATGAACGGGTGTGAGCAATAACTGATGTGAATGCGGTAAAAGAATGTAAAAGAACGAACACGCGAGCGAAACAAAGGTATCGAAGATGAGTTCAGCAACGCAGAGGAGGGTGGCTAGGAAGAGATGACCAAGGGCAAACGGACTGACGTGAATGCGGTAAAAAGAACGAACAAACGAGCGAAACAAAGCTGTCGAAGATGAGTTGACGACTCACATGGACCATAGGTGGCTAGGAGAAAATGACCAGGGGCAAAAAAGAGGGCATCAGAGAGAAAAGGCGCAGGAGAGAGAAGGTAGGAAGGCCTCCACGGACCATAGCATTTTTTCTTGGGCAGCGGCGTGATCTTTCGATATACTACGGGTGCCGTGGCATGGATCGTATGGCCATTACGATGACAGGGTAGTCAGCAGTCATTGGGGTGTTAGACGCAACTACCTACCTGGCACTGCGTGAGGAGGGCTTTCGGTCAGGACGTAGAAGGGCCTCTTTTTCTACCAGTGCCGTGACAAGTAGTGTTCAAGCACTGGCCAGCATGCCTCCGAACACGTCTTGACAGATACACGAATTCGTAACATCAGCACGTTTTCTTAGTCACAGCAAATGCGCGCGCCTGCCTTTCCTGCTCAATCGCCTTCGCCCTTACCCCTTCTCTTCCTTTTTCCCTTTTCGACCTCCCTTTCTCCCTTGTTTTATCATCGTAGGCGCTACCAAGCAAAAACCTGAGACATGAATATATAGTCGGACTCGATTTAGCAGCACGGCCGTTTCGATAACAGGATGGAAAATGGCATTTGTCAAAGTTTGCGAGACATACAAGAAACGTCAACACTGCCCTGCTCATCCTCAACTGCTCAACCTCACGCCACGGACGATGCGCAACGTCAACCAAGCGTTATTGGGTGGCGTAAGGTTGAGCAGTTGAGGAAGAGCAACGCAATGCCGATGTTTCCTCTGTGACAACTCTTATGCAAGCTTTGACAAGAGGCATTTTTCCATCCTGTTATCGAAACGGCTGTCACGCGAAATGGAGCCTGACTATTCATGTCACAGGTTTTTGCGTGGTAGCGCCTACGATGATCAGATAAGGTAGAAAGGGGGGTCGAAAAAGGGAGAAAGGGGGGTCGAAAAAGGGAGAAGGAAGAGAGGGAGATGAGAGCGAAGGTGATTGAGTAGGAAGGCAGACGTGCGCATTTGCTGGGAAACTGCCGATACACTAATCTCTCCATAATCCTCCTACTCCAATAGCATTAAGTCTCTCTGCCCAATGGCCATTATCAGAGAAACGCCAAGCGGCCATTATGGGACGTTGAAAACAAATGGGAGCGTTGCTGAAGTAGGTGGACGAGATGACTTGACGACGGAGTTCAGGAAGGAATCGAGGTAGGGACCAGAGCCAAGGACCTCTGAGAGGTCACTGCCTGTCAGGACAGCAACACCCGACGGGCTACCTACGTTAGGCGCTGAAAGCAACCACTTGAGCGATGAGATGAACTCTCACGTCTGAGATGTTCAGGAGGAAGCGGAGACTTCCGCCGCCGGAGATCAGCTTTGGGGAAGCGGGTCACCAAACTCCTGATCAGGGAAGGAGACGTATGATAAGCTCAGCTCTTGAGGCGCGATCGTCCTCGTACAGAGCAGATCGGGCGGGATCGATCAATTGCGAAATACGACTCAAGACCGTTTTTGTCTCGGTAAGCTGGTTTGATAAACTGGTACGATTAGTTTTGATTACCTTGGTTTATAAACTGGTTTGATTGAACAAACTGGTTTGCTTGGCTGGCTTGCTTGGGTGCTTTGCTTAGCCAGTTTGGCTTGCTGTTTTAATAAAAACAGGTTTGATTAGCTGATTTGATGGACTGGTTCGAGATGGCATTGCTCCAGCTGAGGTCGAGGCAAAATTTCCAAAGCGCCCGTCCAATCCTCCGCAACGCTGAAGGATCGGGCAACGGAGGAAGACAGCGGGCCGATTATCGGAGGCACACTCACACAGAGAGAGAGAGAGAGAGAGAGAG